AACACGGTAAAGGAGAAATGAAGTGTGAAAAAGTGACATTAGAAAAAGTGAAACCCCTCATTAGAATAATACCTACAATCAGATAAAATCAGTGAAGACGCAACAAAACGAAAGCCAGAAAAGAATTAAAATCAATTGAAATCAACCTGAAATAGGATTTATTCTTTAAACTATGCATGAAGGCTGATTTCCATGTAATTGCTCTGTAATTGATTTCATTTAAACTTCCTCTCCCTGTCATTCTTCTTCTGTTCTTTCAGATAAAAGTTAAGAAAAACAGCCCTCATCCCATTTTATTCAGTTATTTTTTATTTTGCTGTATTTATGTGGTCCATATCACGTCACCTGTCCTTTGTTGAACTACTCTGTTTTTGTTTTTTATTTTATTACTTAATTTTTATCTTATTTATTTAGTTTTTGCTTCATTTACCTGATTTGTCTTATTTTTAATGAAGAGCTTAAAGCACATGACGTGTTATATGTTTAGTTTCTGATGTTTTTAACAAGCTGTTGAAAAGAAATAAAAACTAAAAAGTGTCTGTTAAAGGGTTAGATCTGCCCTCTGAGCACATTTCCACAGACTGCACTTTGTTTTTTTCTTCATAGGAAGCAGACAGATGAATGTTTGTCCTCTGCTGCCGCCTGCTGGAGGATTGAACTCTGCGGCTGCTGTGGTGACGCTCTGCTGCCTCCTGCTGCTTCACAGCTCAAACAAACACGAGGGAAGCTGTGATGAACTCAGTAATTACAAGTAAGTGAACCTGAAACAGGATTTATAAAAAGAACAACAGCAATTAAAACAGTGACATCATCAGACAAACAATCAAAGCTATCGGCTGCCTTCACTGACTTCACACAGTGTGGGAAACTGCACACAGCTCATTATTTCTCTTCAGTTTCTTAAACAGAAGACTGTTCTTGTGTTATTTCTGACAATGGTGAAGAGCAAACATCCATATTGTTCTTCTGTCTCCTTCCACAACATGTCAGAGGTAAATAATGAACTTTCACCAGATTAACTTTCATGATACTTTTTGATAACTTCTTTTAAAAAACATTAAGAGCATTAAAACACATCTTAGTGAGGGACCAAACCAGGTCAGGAAACCAAAAAAAAAACTTTTTTCCTCCCAAAAATTCAAGTGTACTTTGTTAGTTTAGCCTTAACTACAAACAGTTGTTTCAGGGATTAATGAAGAACTACAGAAACACTGTCCTCTACAGGCAGAGTCAGGAATTACACGATTTCTAAGTTGAAGAGTCGATTGTTTCCACTGATGAACTGAATCCACAACAAAAGAGACAATGTTAAAAACTCAGTGACACCAAACTGAGTCCAGCTGTGGGTTCCAATCAGTCCAGCAGCATGAACATGGTTCTACAACGAGCTGAGAACATCAGAACCTTCTCAGTTCTGGACCTATGGACTGTGTCTATCTATGTCTGCATCATGGCTCCACATGGAGAAGACCTGAACAGAGGAGGAGAAACATCTGACTGAGAGACTGGACAAAGATGGAAAAGGATCCAGGAACTAAAACCCAGTGCAGCCCAGTGTGAGCAGTAACCAGGAGGTCCAGAAGGAGCCATAGTAGCACTGATCAGGGCTGCAGTGGTCGTCCTCCTACAATGACTCCACGGACAGTCAACTACTGTCACTATGGAGCTGTGGACACCAGACAAAGGCAGCTGCTTCAGACTTGGCACAGGGCTTATCAATGGAGACCAGAGTTAGTGTGAAGCTCAGACACTTCAGAACATCAACCTCTATGGACGGAGGACCAGAACTAAACCTGGCTGCTGCTCACAACTAAACCTTCAGATAAAACTTTGCTAAAGAACATGAACAGAAGCCTGATGGATGCTGGAGAACATTCTCTGGTCAGATGGAGTCCAGATGTTTGGTGTGAACCTGACCAGGACCACCACAGTGGATGCATGGTCCTGACAGTGAAGCACGAAGGTGGCAGCATCATGATATGGAGCTGCATGAGGGCAGAAGGTGTTGATGACGTTTATAGATGAATGTCTGATGATGAACCAGAATACTGGCTGATGCCTCCCAGTCTGCAGATGCTGGATGAAGAGGAATAATCCAGCAGGAGAGCCATCAAGAGAACAACATCACACAAGAGTTTCTACACAAAGACACAGTGAGAACTACAACCTGGACAGTGTGTGTCCTGACTTAAATCCAGCAGAATGTATTTGAAATATTTTAAAGACAAAGAGAGAAACACAACGTCTCCAGCAGAGAGCAGTGTGAAGAACATCTACTACGACTTCCTACTTTGAAGTCTGTATTTTTAATATAATAAATCTAACCCGCCAGTTTTTATTTGGCATTAGAGTGAATACCTACTGTTCAACTTAAAAATAATCAGATTACTGTAAGGTGATGCAATGTTGAATAATTTAAGTGATTTGTTGTGTACATGTATTTTTGTTGCACGGAAAACAATATTGTTCTGAACATGTTCTCGCTAACGTTAAAGAACAGGAATTATTTGTCCATTTTTCTCGTGTCGACCACGCCCGATCTGACTCATGCTCAGGTCTTTGTGAGTCACAGCGTTTGGCTGCCGACCGAGAGGAATTCCTGTTCTACTGACTGGGTGTGTGTTTGTGTTGTTGGTTCCCCATCAGACGCTTTGACTGTAAAACCACACCAGTCTTTAATGACCTCAGTTCAGCTTTCAGTCCAAAACAGTTTTAAATGAAAGTGTCAAACTGCGCCGGTTTGTTTTTGTTTGTTCCTCTGAATAAAGCAGATCTGTAGAAACACAACATACCGGAAAAAAAGTAGAATTACAGAAATGTAAAACTAAAATGTGGAACAAAACAGGAAAAAAAAGAAGAAATACAGAAAGATAGAGACAATAGAAAACACAAGACACAACATGAGATCTGTTGGACAAAAGACGAGACACGACAGGAGACATGATGCCAACAGAGAACACAAGATGACCTGAAGAGTAATGACATGAGACCAGATCAAACAAAATGACACCAGGTGATATGAGATGACAACACAAGGTGCCAGGAGCTAACATAAAGAAGACACGAGGAAACACAAGACAACAACCGATGACACAAAATACATCAGATTACATGAAACGACATGAGAATGAGATAACATAGGATGACATGAGACAATGGCATAAAATGAGATGACACACAAAATGTCATGAGAGGAGAAGAAGTGACAAGAGGTGACACAAAATGACACTAAAAAAAGTTATGAGAATGAAAACTTGTTTGCAATAAAACATGAGATATGAGACGAAACGAGAGGACACAAAATGACAACATGAGATAGGATCTGACACAAGACAACAAAAGATGACACTGGATATGAGATGACACAACATTATATGTACAAGATGACATGAGGCAACAAAAAATGACACAAAAAAGTCACGAGATTATATCTGCCATCATAAGATTGCATGAAATGAGAATATCTGACATGAGATGACACAAAACAGGTGACATGATGTGACACAGGACAACAGACGACGATAGTGAATATGAGATGATACAAGATGACATGAGATGGTATGAGACACTACCAGAAGAAACAAGATAACATAAAATGACCTGAGACGACATGAGAATGAGATAACACGAGATGACATAAGATGACAACACAAATGAGACGACAAGAAAGCGACACAAAATGACATGACGACATGAAATGAAAACTCAAGATATAAGTTGACATGAGACGACACAATGAGACACCAGATGACATGTGACACAAGACGACACAAGACAACAACGAATACGAGATAATACCAGACGACATGAGATGCCAAAGAGACAATGACTTGGCACGAGGAGACACGACAGCAGACGACGACAGTGAATATGAGATGATACAAGATGGTACAAGATGGTATGACACACTACCAGAAGACACAGGATAAGATGACCTGAGACGACATGAGAATGAGATAGCACAAGACATAAGATGAAGACGCAAATGAGACGACACAAAATAACACAATAGTCATGTGATAAAATGTGACAACATAAGACAACATGAAATGAAAACTTGAGATATAATGTGATACGAGACGACACAATGAGACACCAGATGACATGATGTGACACAAGCCGACAATGAATACAAGATGATACAAGACGACGAGGTGCCAAAGAGATAATGACATGACACGAGGAGACACGACGCCACTAGATCAAACAAAATGACATTAGATGAAAAGACACGACATGAGAAGGAGATGACATGAGATGGGACGACAGAAAATGTCATGAAACAAGAGGTGACATGAAGTGACACAAAATGCCACCGGATGATATGACACTAAACAACAGAGGACGACGATGGATATGAGACAATGCAACACAAGGTGTCATGAGGAGACACGAGAGATCAGCAGATGGAACAAGATGTGATAGAATGACATGAGACGACATCACATGACACGGGAGAGAATGTGAAGTGAAATGACACGAAGCGTCATGAGGCGACACAAAATGACAAAAAGAAGGTCTTGAGAGGACACGAGATGACACCAGACCTACAGGAAACCAAACCACTGTGAACAAAGCCCCAGAACCGACTGCTGGCAGGTGAGCCGACAGCAGGTGAAACTTGTTTAAGTGTCTGCTGGGAAACAGATGTGAGAGTGCTGAAGGCGGGTCTGGAACTCTGATCTTTAGTTACCATGGCAACACACAATAGCAGCGGCCCGATCACACCTGTAATAGTCCATCAGTCATCCAAGTCAGACGGCGGAGATGGGCAGAATTCACCAAACAAAAGAGGAGTTAAAAATAAAGTTTACACAGCAACACTGGAAACACGCCCAACAACTGCATGACTGTGTGTGTGTGTGTGTGTGTGTGTGTGTGTGTGTGTGTGCTGTTTAGCTATCTACAACGTGCTGATCGGTCCTCACTTTGGGGGTTCAGACAACGTTTTAGGATCCAGGGTTGGGAAATGAAGGTGTTAATGAAAGTCCACCATGTAAATGTGTGTGTTTTTGTGTATTTGTGAGTGTGTGTGTGTGTGTGCGCGTTATTGTGTGTGTTTCTGTGGGTGTGTGTGGGTGTGGTCTGAACAGGGCGAGGCTCTCGACTTAAATTCTCTCCGGTTTCCAACAGTCTTCACTCTGCAGCTCTCAGGTGACCTCAGGTACGTGTTTTTCTTCTTCTTCTTCTTCTTCCTCTTCATGTTTATAAGATTTGTCTCTGTGTCTTCAGACTGTAGTTTATTATAAAACTGGCAGAGTTTCTCTATTTTCCTCTGAGTCAGACACTGAAGCAGAGCAGGAATGGAACCAGGAAGCCGTTTTCTGCTCTGATTCAGAAAACTGAGAAAAAGTTACTAAACTTGGTTTTGTGTCGGTTGTTCGGGACGGTTTGACTGTGAATCCATTCGAGCTTTATTGACACTGCGAGAGCAAACAGCCGGAGTTGGTGATGAGAGTCTGCTGACTGTGACTCATGTGTGGTCTGATGTGTGCTGATCTGCTGCAGGCTGAGTGTGTTTGTTTGTGGTTAGCGTGGGAATGTTAGCTCCACCCAGTGCATAGAAAACGCTTGGAAAACATGCTGAGAACATATGGAGAACACCCTGGAAACATACACACAACAACATCCACCAAACATACAGCAAACATACACACAACATCCAAAGAACATTTGGACAATATCCAAGAACCACCCAGGGAACAAACAAGAAACATACAAACAATACATAGGAAACATACGAACAACGTCAAAGAAACATTAAGACAACATCCAACAAACACACCAAAAACATTTTTACAACATCCAGCTAACACACAAACAACATTCAAGAAACGTTTAGGCAATCTCAAAGAAACGTCCAGGAAACATCCGGACAACATCCCGTGTTTTTCCACTCTAGGAACTTGCTGGTCCTTTAATGGGGCCTTAAATATCGATTGTTGACAGAAAAACAATCAATGCACCACAATTATTCTTTCATCTACAGTAACAGTCACACAACAGTCCTCAGCTTCAGGATGATTGTTTGATCCAAAATGGATGACAGGCTTTTAAAATGGCTGTGATTATCTGCTGCTGGGCTGGACAGAAAAACGTGAACACCTTGTTGATTTGAGCAGGATGTAAATGTAGACATTTCCTACAGTTTGTGGATCCATTTCAATTTTTTTTCCTGTTGTTTATTCTCTTCGTGTCAGGACTTGTTTAACCACAGCCCACGACATTCTTCTTCTGCTGCTTTAATAAGGTTATTCCTGTCTTTGTGTTTCAGGTTGCAGAGAGGCAGGATGGATGTAAGTCTTCTTCCCTTTTACACAAACTCTGAATGCCGTTTTCCAGGCTTTATCTTTGTGTGTTTGTTTGTTTTCTGAATGTGTTCTTGCTTGATTTCAAGCCACATTTTCTAATTTAACCGAATGGAACACATGTGTGACAGATGGTGAAAGCAGAAAATCCAGAATACCAATTTGGTTGGTAGTGACTCACTTTGACACGGTGAAGAAGTTTTTTTAAAATCAGAATTTGATTTTATGAATAAAAAAAACTCAGCTGTAAAATGTGGCAAAAAGGTTTTGACACTTGACAAATCTGTAAATCAAAACCCGTCTGCACATAGCCAATTACATCTCATGGAAACTAGTGAAACTCTTTAGTGGATTGTCAACAGAAAACATCTCTCATCAAGTATATATTCAAACTATCACAAACTTACTAATCTTACAGGTGGAAAACAGTGACTTTATGATAGCTGAAGAGCAGAAACTCGCCCAGAGGATTGCTTAACTGTTTACAATAAAAAACAATCTGACCTCACAGATATTTTAAAGGACTCGAGCCTCACATTAGCAGCAAGCTGGCAGGAAGCCAACTTAAACATGCTTATGGGTGTGACTAATTGGTTTGTGAGAACAATACCTTCACGCAGGACATTCCTGAAGATTGTGTAACTGAACACACCTGAACACACGTCTGAAAGACTGACCCCTTTCCTTATTTCACCAGTGGCACATCTTAGTCTCAGTTCCTTCAACCAGAGATCCCAGCGGAGGAGTCAAGGCAATGAACAACAAACAGTTTAAAGCAACATTAATTAAATATGACATGTATAAAATATATACACATATAAAATAAGGCCTGACGAGTATGAATGTCTCATATCACGCGTTTGTCAGTTCTGCTGCCGACGGGGTTTCTATATCCCAGCCGTGTGTCACCCATCTTCAATGTCATATTTCTATTTAGGTGATACTCAATATCACGAACTGAGATAAAACATACTTAGAATATTGTTGATTAGCTCCAGTACCCATTTGTTCCACGAAGTTGAGCCTCTTAATGTTTAACACTCTAGAGACCAGAGGCGCCTACTTCTGTGTTGGCATGTGGAAAGCATTATAGGCGTTTAACTCGTAAACGGGCACCGCGATCAGTTTCTGGGTCATGTGCTGAAGGACTGATGATCGGTGGAGGCTGAAATCAGAGAAATGAGGTTATCCTTACATCTTCACTGTGTTTACATGAACTCTGTCTCTCTGCAGCTCAGCCATGCTCTCGACTGGCCTGCCGGTGGCAACAACCAATCAAATCAAGGAGGTCCATGGCCAGGTACGACTGTCTCGTTCTTCTTCTGTGTTATACCCCACCAGGTGTCGCCAGAGTCAGATCTTTCTCCTACATAAGAACTTCAACTAAACAGTCAGATTTAGAATAAACTCAGTCACAGGATCAGGATGAATTAAGTTTTTAATCCAATGAAGGTCAACCCAACAACCTCAACCCTGTCTGGTCGGGAGCTGGAGGTAACCCCAACCCTGTCTGGTCTGGGGGGAACCAACCCCAGCCCGCCTGGCCAGGAGGGAACCCATCCCAGCCCGCCTGGTCTCCCTCCGGTCCTCAACCATGTGCACCTGGAGGGTTTCCCGGACCTGGACCAGGACCTGGACCTGTACCTGTACCTTCCATGAGGGCTATGGTGAGGAAAACAGAGAGAGACACAGAGACACAGACTGAGAACCAGATGTGGTAAACAGCTGTTTATCTGTTTTACAGGTTGTTCCCTATAATCAGGATCTGCCCAGTGGAGTTTATGACAAACTGCTCATCACCATCCAAGGCACCGTCAAACCCAACGCTGACAAGTCAGTACAAAGGCTTTGACGTTAGTGACATGAGATGAGTTGGACTCAGGACTGATAAGCTGTGTTGTCCATCAGGTTCATGGTGGACCTGTATACATCCTCCGGAGACCTGGCCTTCCACTTCAACCCACGCTTCAACGAGGGTGGTAAGCAGGTGATCGTTAGGAATAGCTGCATTGGCAAGAAGTGGGGCAAAGAGGAGAGAGAGCTGCGATGCTTTCCCTTTGTTAAGGGTCAGCCTTTTGAGGTGAGACGCCTTGGATACGTCATGAAGTGAAGTTGAAGGACCAGTCTGTGAATATGTGAGCAGGTCAGTAACAGTTTGTAGTTTTGCTGTTGCAGATAAAGATCATGTGCACCAACACAGCGTTTAAGGTGGCAGTCAACAACTCTCACCTGCTGGACTATAACCACCGGATCCCGAACCTGAGAAGCATCACAAGATTCTGCATCATCAACGACATCAGTCTGTCCAATGTCTTGATGGAGACCATGTCCTGAGACAGATCCCTAATCCAGCAGAGACCTACTGTAGATCCACCAGAGGTCTACTGCAGATCCACCAAAGATCCACTGGGGATCCACCAGAGATCCACTGGGGATCCACCAGAGATCCACTGGGTTTCCACCAGAGATCTACTGGGGATCCACCGTGGATCTACTGGGGATCCACCAGAGTTCCACTGGGGATCCAAGAGTGATCTACTGGGAATCAAAATAGGAGATCTGCTATTATCCGATAAAGATCCAAAAGACATCATTAGTGGATCTGAAGTAGATTCTCTCTGGACCCACATGATTTTCTCTCCCAGCAGGATCATCATCGTGTCTCAGAAAGATTCAGAGAACAGTTCTGGTGGATCCACAGTAGATTCTCAGGAGGTCTACAGGAACTTTAACATATATCATAAGAAACTTATTGTTACGCAATTGCCTGTGATCAGCAGTAGATCCAGAGCAGATCCTCTCATACTAGTTTTCTTCTACATGTTTGTACTCTGGTGAGAAGTAAAAATAAAGGGTTAATCTTGAATCTGCTGAAACTTGTGTCAGTTTGTATATCTGTCAGGACAGACGGGGACAAAGCCGACCTCTGACCTCCGACAGCATCAGTCATCATTGCTGTTCTAAATAAACTGAAACTCCTCAGTCACATTCAGAACATTTCATTTTTTAAGCAGTTTTTCCAGCAATAAATGAGGCTTTCTAAACTGAATGATATGTGATCAAATAGGAAACAGAGTCTTCTTCTCATATTTCTATGGAAGGTGGAAGAAAAGAAGGAAAAGAGGAGGAAAAGAAAACGATGTGAATTATAAGCTAGAAAAACTACAAATTATCGCTGCAGGTGGATCAGTGGTTAGCACCGTTGCCTCACAGCTAGAAGGTCGCCGGTTGGCGTCCCGGTGAGGACACCCGGGATCTTTCTGCGTGGAGTCTCCATGTTCTCCCTGTGCAGCGTGGGTTCTCTCCAGGTTCTCTGGCTTCCTCCCATAGTCCAGAAACATGCTGAGGTTAATTGGTAATTCTACGATCT